AAATTGACGAAAAAGATTTATTTGCATCAAATTAACAAAAATAAGGACCTAATTCAGACGTTAAAAAATAAAAGGACCTATTTCAAATTCTGAACAAAAATAGGGACCTATTAAAACATTAAACCATATTTGAGGATAGACACTGTTCTTACCAAAACAATAATTAGCAAAGCCTTCCTTCAACTTAAAGAATTGGGTCCTGTGGTGGCAAAAGAAATGAGAAGAAATTTAAACGCGTAACATCATTAACAATCACATTAAAGCACAGAAAGAAAAACTTCAACTTGTTTTTTGTTTTGGCCTAACAAATAAGAAGAAAACTATTTATACACAAAACGTTGGAAGCAACAGGGGGCAGGAAGGGCGGTGGAAAAGAATCCGTCCAATATGAAGATGTGGGTAACCATATGCGATGCTGATTCTTTTTCTGTGATCCAAACTGCTTCATTCATATCCCTCTGATTTTTTCAGACATGAAAATTTTCATCAGTGCCAGCGAAGTCACGTTCAGCTTGTACCCTTTTGGACAAAGTTAACTTTTTTTTTACCGTTATGAAGTTGGAGAACCCAACAAAAAGGGGTTCAGGAAGATCCACTTGTTTCTATGGTCATTATTAGGGGCATAGTAAAGGCCACGTTTGAGTTTTCGTGCTAGTTTATCACTGTAGAAAAAACGGGCTTTTGGCTTGTGGGTGTTTATTTGAAACCTTTCTTATGTGCTGATCGATGGTTAACTGGGTCAAAGATTGGATCTTCTCTAACTTGAGCGTGGTGAGTGGAGAACCGAAAGTGCGATGAGTTTGTAGTGTTCTTCTGCAGAGATCCGAGTGTATGGAGCCTCCTACGGGGTTTTGTGCTTCTTTGTGGAGTTTCGTCCGATTCCTTCCTTATTTCATTGGGCTTCTGCTTCTGGGCAGCATCAAAGGTAAATGACGATGAATCTGTTCTACGTTCTTTTGGATTGTTGTGAGTTTCTTGTTTTAAATTAGTTGAGTTTTAGTAGAAAATTTAGTAATTGAACTTGAGCATATTATAGATGATTTCTAGGTTGTTACTTCATTAAATGAAATAGTAATGGACCATCTGTGCATATATTATTTTTTCTATTTATAGTTGTTTAGTTATTCAGTGATTTTGCTGTGCCGATCAAAAGAAAAAAAAAATTCAGTGATTGTGCTGTGAAATTTATTCAGCTTTCTTTTCCTAAACCAACGGTGGGGAGGTTATGTGGAGCCTGGTGTGGGGTTTTTCACGAGTTGCCTTGTGACCAATGTTTATTGACAAATTATTGCTTTCATTAAATTAACTTCTGTCAACCACAAGTTGAATTTTGCTTCAAGCATCTCATCTTATGAATAGAAATAATTGAATTTTTTACTTTTGTTACTGATTATTACGAGCTTATTAAGCACAGCAGCACAAGATTTAATATCATGGGAGCACAGAATTTTGAAAGTTGAAAATACAAAGGAATAAATTTAATGGCAGCCAACTATATAATTTTTAAAGGCCAGCTTAGAATTATTTCTAGGCAAAACCGAGGAATTTAAATAGTTTCTGCTCTTGCTTCATTTTCTAGTTTCCATAATGGAATATGTAATAGCTTATTGTATGTCATGCTTCACTAGACTAGAGAAGATTTAGGGTATGGTTCTACATCAGATGTGTGATTGCAAACCTTACTAATCATTGCTCAAACTGTCAATCACTTCAGGTATCCTTTTCTGCCCTTTGATATGCGTAATAATTGCAACTGGGAACACTGCTATCATACTTGTACTTTGGACAGTGCATGCAGTTTGGACATATTATTGCGTTCTGAGGTGCTTTCCTTGACTGCCACTCTTTCAAATTTTAGCTCACTTTACTGTCTGTTATGAAATTGTGATTACTTTCTCATGGCGATTTCTCTAACGGACAGAGCTAAACAATTAGGGCCACTTCTGAAGATTGTTATCTGCCTGTGTGTACTACCAGTGCTGTTGGTTTTGTGCCCGGCTTTTGGTATTCTTGGAAGCTTTCTAGGTGGAGCAGCCTATGGATTTCTTTCACCCATATTTGCTACTTTTGAAGCTGTAGAGGAAGGAAAAGATGACAAGCTTTACCACTGTTTCATTGTATGTTCATTATGTTATATTTCTGCTTTAGATGGTCACTACTACTGTTTTACGGTTATTAATTTCAGAAACTGTACTAAATTGTCAGGATGGTACTTGGAGCACTGTTGAAAAGTCTTGCATGGTTGTAAGGGATGTAAAAGACGTTGCTTTCCATTCATACTTCTCGGTTATGGATGACCTGCTACAGAGAGGACCTCCAAATGCAAAATATTATGAGATCAGGTTTACATGTCTCTCTATTTTGTTTATTTTGATGTCATTGTGCTGTCTGACCTGGAGGCCACGGGTTCAAAACCTGGAAACAACCTCTGCATTTTCTAGGGGTTAAGACTGCATACAGATACCCTCCTTGACCCTACTCAGTTGGAAACAATCTCTACACATTGGTTGAAGCTGCATACAGATACTTTAAAGCTTTTCAAGTTTTAAATCTTAGTTGTGTAGATAGTATGTTATGAACGTGAGTGCTAGTTATTTTACTTTGAAACTAAAGGAGCTGGGTTGAAACAAATGAAAAAAAAAAATATCAATATTCCCTCAAGTAGGTCGTTGGATTTCCTGTAGATTGCTATCTTTCAAAAACTTAACTCTTAAAATCACAGAGGGCACAACTCTTCTGTATGTCATACCAAATAGTGATGATTAGGTTGTTTTAATCTTTAATCATTTGCATTCCGAACTTATTAGCGTTCTTGAGCATATTACTGAAAATAATGACAGAAGACATTGATCTTGGATGGAATCTTAAAGAATGGTAATTATTTTTGCGAATATCTTCTGGTTCCAGTGACATTTCAGTAAAAAGTAGAAGTCAAAGTACAGAAAAATCTCAATTAATTGTTTTTCCAAAATTTTCTATTTTTTGGTTCAAACAATACTTGGCGAACCAGATAACACTAATTGTAAACTATGTTATTTTTTCTTATGTATTTTATGTGCCAGTTGTATCTTTAGTTTCTGGTAGATTTATCATGAGAATATTCATCTGTAAATTGAAAAAGAAAAGTGATTGAATTGGTGGTTTTTAAAATATAAAAGCAATAGAGAATGTAACCATGAAAGGTAATTCTAGATAACCAGTCATAATATGCCAAGTATGATGGCTGACAAGATTAGTGCTATACTATTATTTTTTTTTTAATTTTTTCTGCTTTAGTGCAGGCTGTTTTATATTCCTGGTGCTTTAATAGCTGCAGTTATTGGAATTGTGGTTGATGTGCCAATTATATCATTTGTTGCCCTATGCAAAGGTCCATACATGCTTTTTAAGGGGTGGCATAGACTGTTTCATGACCTCATTGGCCGTGAAGGCCCTTTCCTGGAGACAATATGTGTGCCTCTGGCAGGTCTTGCTATCCTTCTCTGGCCATTGGCTGTGGGCGGGGCAGTTCTGGCATCCATATTAGCAAGTTTCTTTCTTGGTGCATATGCAGGGATTATTGCTTATCAGGTCAGTCCTCATATTTTTTCTCTACTGAGATGTACTATACTACTATTGTTATTATAGCTGTTAGAAATAGTGGATATAAGGATTAATTAGATTGATTCTATATTTTTGTTATTAGTTTAAAATAGGGTAGCTGAATGAATGTATTATAATTATGACCTCAATCTTAGAAAGTGGATTTAGATTTAACATCAATCTTACATAACCATCTTGTAAGGTGGGTTTACACACTTCTATACCATAATTTGGTTATATTTCTAGTTAAAGTGAGATTTCCAATATACCCTCTTCAAATTTTACTAGATTAGATTCTATTAAATCTTAGAAAATGGGTTTAGCCTTAACCTTTCAAAACTTATTTGTTATATGTAGATCAACTTTACAAAGTATAGTCATTTTTTTTTTCACATTGCCACCTACATACTTCTGAAGAGGTTACTGAGTCCCTCATTAAAGAAGTTTAAGGCTTCACGGATTTTCTTTTCACCAGTCTCAGAAGGAGTTCACATTTTTACGAGAGAATTTTGGACTGATCTCTTTAAACAGTCAGAAACCAGTCTAAAACTCAGCTCTGCCTATCATTCACTGTTGGATGTTCAATTGGGCATACTGAAATTGTCAGTTTATGAAATTCTTTACAGGTTTTAAACATAACCAGTGGACAGGGCTTAGTTAGTTGGGTTGAGTTCTCTTACATTGCTAACCACCATATTTCCGTGAAATGTTTCCTGTATGACCACATATGGAAGAGACCCTTCCTTATTGCTCAAATGTGCAGAAGATGTATCAACAGTAGAAGTTAACCAGTTGATGGTATGGCTGAAAGAACAGTAGTGTTAGATGTCAAATCATATTTGGTGCTGATTCATAAGAAAATGAAGCAGTACAGTGATAAGAATAGAAGGGATGTGAAGGGACTTGAATAATGAGAGGGAAAATAATTTTTTTATTAATTACTAGAGATGAATACAAAAAAATAGAGGATGAGTTGGAGAGCCTGATTTTCCTCTCTTAGGATCTCATTTATAATGACATTAGAAGTTCAGATACAACGAAGAGAGGAAATAGAAAATGATAAGAAAGGTTATTTTAATGGGTATAACATAAAAACAACAACTTTTAAATGTGTCATGCTTTGAACAAATATATTAAGTCCGAGGAATCCTCTCAAAGATTTTGTTGACTCATCTACAAGTTGATCATTTGATTTGACAAACTTAGTGCAAATTTCTTTGGAAAATAACTTTTCTCAAATAATAGTCAAACTGAGTTGACAATGACAGTCAATCTTTATATGTTTAGTCCTTTCATGGAACACTGGATTAGAAACAATGTAGAAAGCATCGTTCTTATTACAATACATTTTCATTTGTTAAATCTAACGTAAAGCTAATTCTTGGAAGAATTGTTTTACCCATATAAGTGCACAAGTGAGAAATGCCAACATAAATACAAAAATAGAGAATGAATTGGAGACTTGATTTTCCTCTCTTAGGATCTCATATTTATAATGACAGAAGTTCAAATACAATGAATGAGTGGAAAGAGAAAAGGATAAGGTTATATCTAGAAACTGGTTATAACACAAAACACAACAACTTTTCAACAAATTCTATCTAGGATGATCGGGCAATTACATTTTGTTTTACGCTTTTTGAAGGGATAATATTAGCTTTAATGATAACACATTATCTTGTAATAGAGTGCTTGTCTACAGGAAACCTGCCAATCAACATCACAATGCCCAAAGATTTGGGTATTCCCTTTATCTTAATAAAGTATATCTTGTCCTAGAGCCGTTTTTAAGTACATTGTAATTCGGATGACAACATTCCAAATATCAATACAAGAATTTTGCATACACTGACTCACAACTTCAACTACAAAGACAAATTCGGTCAAGTATTTGTAAGATAAATCAATTTTTTAACCAGCTTCTATATCTTTATAGNCAATTACATTTTGTTTTACGCTTTTTGAAGGGATAATATTAGCTTTAATGATAACACATTATCTTGTAATAGAGTGCTTGTCTACAGGAAACCTGCCAATCAACATCACAATGCCCAAAGATTTGGGTATTCCCTTTATCTTAATAAAGTATATCTTGTCCTAGAGCCGTTTTTAAGTACATTGTAATTCGGATGACAACATTCCAAATATCAATACAAGAATTTTGCATACACTGACTCACAACTTCAACTACAAAGACAAATTCGGTCAAGTATTTGTAAGATAAATCAATTTTTTAACCAGCTTCTATATCTTTATAGTTTAGAGAAAGCTTCTCTATCTATTTTGCCATTAATTTCTTATTTGAACCTAAGGACTATCCACTAATTTACAATCAATCATATATGTCTCATTTTGGATGTCTAGAGCATATTTCTTGAGAAATCTCAAAACCTTGGATTGGGCTACTTTTGTGCCCAAAAACTAATTGAGACTTCCAAGATCCTTGTTCTAAAAGTGATTGCCTAGGTATTCATTTTATTGAAATATTCTAGAAACATCATTCTCTTCAATGACAATGTCATCAACTTGCATATTGTATGCACTTTCTAGGGAAGGTGTGACTAGAAAACAAAATTATTTATCTCACAACATTTCAAACTTTTTAAAATAAAAGAGAAAGAGGCATAGTACGAATCCCTAATGTGTATTGAGCACATAGGGTTATGCATGTATAAATAGGAAAACAAAAGGATATGGGCCTAAGTCCATTACATCTAACACTCTCCTTTAAGCTGATGCATATAATCGTATGTACCAAGCTTGTTACAAATATAATCAATTTTAAGTCTCTGTAAAGACTTAATGAAAATATTTGCTAATTGATCACGAGTTAATGAAGTCTTGATGTCTACAAATATAATATTTTCTTGAATAAAATGATAATCAATCTTAATGTATTTGGTTTTTTCATAAAAGACGGGATTAGAGCTAATATGAAGAGCAATTTGATTATCACATATTAGTGTCATTTGAGTGACATCTCTAAATTGCAATTCTTTAAGTAATTGTTTAGGCCAAATATGTTCACAAGTGGCTCAGGCCGTAGCTCTATATTTTTCTTCTCCACTAGATCTTGCCACAATATTTTGTTTCTTGCTCTTCCAAGAAATCAAGTTATCATCAATGGAAACATAATATCTAGAAGAGGATCTTCTATCTGAAAGAGATCTTGTCTAATAAATGACAAGCAATTTTAGTATGATTATTGTGACCATATACCAAACCTTTTTCAGGAGTTCCTTTAATGTACTTTAATATACAAATATACAAATGACTGCATTCCAATGATCTACAGTTGGAGAATTAAGAAATTGACTCACCATACTGAATGAAAAAGAAATATCAAGGCGTGTAACTGTAAGATAGTTCAACTTTCCAACTAATCTTCTATACTTTAGGAGATTTGAGAGTGGCTTCCTTTGGTTACGTAAGAGTTTAACATTAAGATCCATGAGTTTGTTAATAAACTTTGAATTCATCAACTTAGTTTTCTCCAAAATATCCAATGCATACCTCCTTTGAGAAATAAAAATTCCATTATTGGATTGTGCTACCTCAATACAATGTTATCGATATCGGATAACAGAAAATCAAAGACCCCAAAATTCCTTTATGAAATTATAGCAGAAACCATATTGGGTTTTGGCGAAAGCATTGCAGTCAAAAGAAATATAATATATGCATATAGATAATTAAAAAAAGAAAAATATAATTGTAGTATTGTTAGTGACAACTACAGTGGAATGAATCATGGAAGGCAAAATGAATGCGCTTGAAAGGTGGGCCAACGAACAGGATAAGGCAATGACAAAAGTGAGAGGAAATATTCAAGAAATGAGAGAAGATATCCAAGAAATGAAAGAAATGATGTGGAAATCCAAGAATCCTGAGAGGGGCTCAAAAGCAAGTGAGAAATTTGTTTATAGAGCAAGAAAGGGAAGGGGGGAGAAACTTCTTCAAGACATCATGAAAGGAAAGAAAGAGGTAAAGATAGGTATGGATGCTGAGAAAGATAGTCTACAAGACATCAATAAAGCAAAGAATAAGGCAATGACAAAAGTGAGAGGAAATATTCAAGAAATGAGAGAAGATATCCAAGAAATGAAAGGAAATGATGCGGAAATCCAAGAATCAGGAGAGGGGCTCAAAAGCAAGTGAGAAATTTGTTTAAAGAGCAAGAAAGGGAAGAGAGATAAACTTCTTCAAGACATCTTGAAAGGAATAAAGAGGTAAAGACGGGTATGGATGCTAAGAAAGACAGTCTACAAGACATCAAGAAAGCAAAGAAACCTTCAGATGTAGGAGAAAATTCAATCAATTGGGAGAAGAAAAGAGAAAAGGATGCCATTGACAATAATGGACCTAGGAAGGGTGAGGAAGAACCATTTTTCCCATGGGTGGAAAGAGAGGAGTTGTCTGCATTTGAAGGGACTGACACCCAAGGTCAAACAACAAGGGCAACAAATGTTTTTTTGAAGTTCCAATAACATCAAAGGATCAACAAAAGTACACCCAACCGTCAATAACAACGAAGAAAATGTAGTCCAGGGGTTCAAGATTTGGCAACAAATATGCAAGAACCTTTTTGCGGGAAGATCTTGAAACAACTCTACTAAGGATAGTTGAAAGACCAAAAGAAAGCATGCTATTTGAGAGTTTGGCAGTAGTAGCATAGATTGGGAGTTGTGGAAATTTTTTTATGTGGAGAGTTTGACAGTAGAGGGAGTTTTTACTTTGAATCATTCAAATTTTTGTTCAATCTTCATTTCATTTTCCTTGAACTGGATTTAGTAACTGTGAAATAGTAGAGAAGATTAGGAGAAATCTCCCTTATGTGTTTGCATACACATAGTGTTAGTTTTATTTATAATGTAAGATCAGGGTTTTAAACCCTAAATACAGAATGGGCTAAGCCCAATTAACATAAACACACAACTTTTTAACATCCCTAACACTCCCCCCTCAAGCTGAGCATATAAATCATATGTTACAAGCCTTTGAAGCAAAGATAGTCAATTCTTCCTAGTTCCTCGTAAGGACCTTGGTTAATATGTCTGCCA